TGCGTGTATGTGCATATGTATGTATTTCTTATGTCATCAGATTCTTACCAGAAAACGATCAATTGTTCGATTAGTTCGATTGAGAAAGGTCGAATAATTCAAATACCATTGAAATGAGACATTTAACTGAACGTTTGCCAACTATCTCTATAAAATTTGTGTATTGATCAAGATGGATGCCTTAACGATAAATAAATTGATCGATGGAATATAGGAAATCAAGTATATGTTATACAACCTTCGGGCAAATCATTTTTTATAGAGTTACAAACAGGGTTAAAACGTTACTGACGTTTCCTTTGAAAAGATGATCAAAGAGAGACGAGAAATAGATATTTTTTAAATCCAATAATATTCTATTTCTTTTTTTCTTTTCTTTTCTTTTTCTTTTTCTTTTCTCTTTCTTTTTTCTTAAGAATTATTTTACAAAGCAAATAACTAGTCCTTCCTATACGTTCCATTCTGTGCAATTTTTCTTTTCTTTTTTTTTTTTCTCTTTCTTCTTTTTCAAAATTATCTTATGAATCTCCTCTCTTCTCTTTCTTTCTTAGTTTTATGTAATTTTCTGTTTTTTTTTTCTTTATATATATATATATATATATATATATATATATATATATATTATTTTACAAAATATATCCAATCTTCACTTTCGTTCTGTTCTACGTAATTTTTTGTTTTTTGTTTCTTTGAAGAATTATTTCATACATTATTTAATTCCTTCGTTCTGTTTTCTAGAAAAAAATTTATGTTCCGCAAATGAATACAAAAATATCATTTTATTGAACGTTTTGCAATGAGAATCCAACTATCTGTCCTCTTTGATCTTGTTCCGTTTCTTTGAACTGGCCTCTTGTCGAAAAGTCGGTCACAATTATAGGCTTCGCGATATATAAAGGTTACATAGCTTTCCGTTGAGAGAGTAGTCATTGAATAAATCCGTCTCTGACGTCACTCACATTGATACTAGCTAAAGCGATTAATCGATGCAAATATGTAGTAAATCATGACGGAGGCAATACAATGACAATGATGTCGTGCCAATTTATTCCCGATACCTACAGATACAGGCGACCGCGCGAGAGGCACACACACACACACACATGCACACACGTACACACACCCATAGACATGTACTTACAAGTATTTCGATCATTGACAACTTTCAGTTATGACTTCGAATTAAATTCTAACAGATATTTTATAAATATTTTTTAATATATGATCGCATGACGTGACAAAATTATCAAATTATATGATTAAGTTTAAATACGCAATGTAAGATCTGTTTAATCATTTTAATTTTTTTAATTAAATTTAAGAAAAAAAATTAAGAAGAATATTCATGATAATATAATTCAACTATTTTTTTTTTTTTTTTTTTTTTTTTTTTTTTTTTTCTTTTTTTTTTTTTTAATTTTAAACGAAGATTATCTACCAAAAGATTAAGAAATAATGAGTTTGGTATTCTATTCAAAAAAAAAAAAAAAAAAACCTGAAAAATAAAAATAAAACAGTAAAAGCATAAAAATAAAAAAGTCAATAAATTTCTCAATGAATACATATATTACATACACACACGGTATACACATATGGTATCGTAATATGCGAAATCGTATGTGAATTTTAATTACCATAAATAAGCGAGTGTCTTGTATTCTCATTGTCATCTTGATTAGAGTGAATCAATTCTTGTCTCTTAGAATTTTATATGTTAGAAGAATAGAAAGTAGTAGGTGGTCGGAATCATATCGCGACCTCAGTGATGACTTAATGTTAATGAAACTAAATGGGTCAAGAACGTTTTGCTATGCGCTCTAATCGTTCCCGATAGCGTACCACTTTTGTTTCACGCACCACGCGAATCGCGTTATGTGCATACGTACATATGTACATACATAGATACATATATATGTATTAAGATATCTTGCATTTTGATTTTTATCGATGCAAATTCGGAGTATAACGTCGTAACTATTTCATTATTTCTAGGCTTGATTTCATTCATCATAGCGATACTCTTACGTAATATACATACATTTATTTTTATTTTTATTACAAATTAAAACAATTCCTTTCTTTCCGTTACCGTTTCGTTTTTGTCCTACTTTTTTTTTCTCTGTCTCTTTGTGTGCATGCGTGCGTTTTCTTTTTTTTTTTTCTTTTTTTTTTCTTTCTTTTTTTTCGTGTACGAGGTCGATGTCAATGACCCTTTTAGAGAGAAAGGAGAGAAGAAAAAAAAAAGAAATCTAACCCATTTACATACATTTCGTTTCTCTAGATTAATAGAATCATCAGAGTAAACATTATAACGCTCTTGCGCGTTCGCAAATGAGTCAGAACCATTGTATGTGCGTATATATGTATATAAAGATCTAAGTTATCAAGGTCCTGCCTTTAAAGCGGTCCATTAATTTATAAGTCTCTTAGAGAATTCCGGTGCCTTAACCTTGGTAATCTTAGAAAATGCGTCTGGAATTGCGCCAATTTTCTGAATGAACAGTTAGAAGTTTAAATGGTCTATCTTAGTCAGTATGTCAAGTCTGTTTATATCGAATCGAGTCGAAACATGTTGACTTAAGAGCGATATTTTTGGTATCATTATGTTATTATTCTTGAATTATTAGAGTGCAATGATCGAGTACCAAATATATATATATATATATATATATATATATATATATATATATATATATATATATATATGTATATCCTAAGTTGCTACTTAAAAATACATAGAAAGTGGTATAACTCGAAACGTTGGAACTCGTACGAGAAGATAAGTTTTCTAAGTTTTACTTAGTCTCGTAAATTTTAACGATATTACTTTGGGAAATACGATTTATGAGTTTTGCAATGTGGTAGCTAAGAAACTATATAGAAGTCATCGAGCTCTCGTTTCTCAAACGGATCGATGAGACGTGACTACGGTTTACGATACGTTCGCGAGTCCAAGGAACCCCTTATCGACTGTCATTGATCAATTCATGCGGCCATTCGCATCCGTTAGCTCTTCTGTTTGCGTGTATATGTATCTGTTTGTGTATGTTTGTATGCGTATTATGGATCGAATTGGTATAACGACACTTATCTTTTTGCTTTACTCCTTATCGGTAAGACATGAATAAGGACGACTTAATGCAATATTCTGGCTCACCTCCAAAAACCACTCCCATCTATTAGAAAATCGAAATGCAATAAGGTCGACTTTGACACTTGACAATTTATACTCCATTGTTATATTTGACACTCGATCGTTTTTAATCCGTAGCTGTTTGTATGTTTATGCGTGCGCCCGTACGTGCGTGCATTCGTGCGTACGTTCGTGCGCATGTGTATGTATGTGATTCTCATTAACATTTAGAATCGCCAAATTGATCATTCTTATCTGAATAAAATGAATTTACAAATCAATTTATTTATATCATATAATCCAGATAAATGTCAGTTTAATGATATTTATAAGAGTAATAAATGTCAAATCATCATATATGGACTTATCGAATGGTTTTTATTTCAAATCGATAACACATCTCTTCTTCTCTTTCTACTTCTCTCTCTCTCTCTCTTTTCTATACTTTTTTCATTTTATATACATTTATACATAGATATCGATTAACTTCGCTTGAAATGAAGGAATAAACATCTTATCAATCATTATTGCTGTAACAAGACCTTTTATGAATTACTTTATAATTTATCTTACATACATGTATACATGATGTATAATAATTAATTTTATATTATGTATAAAATTAATTTTATATTATGTATATATATATATATATATATATATATATATATACACACTCACACACAATGTAATGAAAAATCATAAGATTTATTTATACATATATGATTTATTGTAAACGTCAAATTGATCAATTCGAGGATGTATTATTAATATAATAAGCATTGTTCCAGTCTGGTAAATTCCATCAATATTATAATGCGACAGAATCGTTGTAGAGAGTAGGTGATCCGTGATAAACGTTTTTTTCAATAGACGAATTTATTAAAAATATTAATGGAGATAAAATAGAATAGATCGTACTCGAAATGTTACGTCAGAGACAGCTACTTTTATAAAATAGAAAAAAGTTTGTCAGTCATTAAGTAGAAAAGGATCATTGTCAATAATTCTCATCGTTTTATTATTCAATTCACGTACGGATAAATTCACTAATAGTAGTATAGTGTTCGGTAACAACTGGCAAAAGACTACAATTACTTTGCCAAGTTTGCATTGTGTACATAATACGTGTCACCACAGCTCTTTGGAACGACTTCAAAGCTTGTTAAATAGTCATGCAATTCGTCATATGATTATTGGCATTCTCAGAAGATGATGGAATCTTGTATACATTTTCGCATTGCTCTTGAATGATATAACATGATTTCGTTAATCACGAAAAATGTGAAATACAGAGATAGGCCGTGTATATGTGTATTGGTCTATTTTTTATTGATAAAAAATAGTTTTGATCTAATTCTTCCTTTTTTCTTCTTCTTCTTCTTCTTTATTTTTGAAGAAAATTGGATTAATATTTTTTCGCTTTTGAGTAAGAAAATTTTTAGAAATGATCCTTATCTCGTTGACATTTTTACAAATAATTATTGTTAATTAATTATATTTTATTGTCAATATTTTGTTATTACGTATGACAATAATAATAAGTATTGCGCCTAAAAATAGGCAATACTACTTACTTCGTTGATAATATTGCATGCGACAACTTTTTAAAGATCCTGTATAAATATTATTCCGTAATGCACATGTGTATGAATGAGTTGCCTATTGCTAAAGGATTAAAAAAAAATCATTTTGTAAGACTACGGAGTATAGCGTGAAGCCTGCTTTTAGGTGTCATACTTAATACTTCTTATATTAAATATTATATTCGTTTGCACGTTAAATATTATTTAATGATTTATAAAAATTTTATGATTTATAAAAATCTTTTTGTTCAATTTATTAATACGAGAAAGAAATTTTTCAGGATGTGGATCTTAGCAGTCGTTGCCCTAGCGTACTTTTCGTCGCTCGCGAAAGCGATACCAAATTATTTCGGACTACCTCCTGGTCCATATTGTGCTGGAAGATATCCAGCAAGGAGATGTTGTGAAGGACGACAGGATGATTGTAGTGCACCGATATTATCGACGACATGTTATTGCGATGACTTTTGTGATCGAGACAGAGAAGAAGATTGTTGTCCGGATTATTATTTACATTGCAAAGGCATGTCCACGGAACCTCCACCGGAAGAGGTCAGACGTACGTTCTTTGCGTGTTCCAATAGAAATCAATAATTAATTCCTTTTAATTTAATATTTTTAATACTTACAATAGTCATATTAAATTTTTACAGTTTGTTCCTACAATGGAAGATATTACAATTACAGTCAGATTTTCAAAGTAAATTGCAATCAATGGTAATTAATTTATTATTATTATTATTATTATTATTATTATTATTATTATTATTATTATTATTATTGTTGTTGTTATTATTATTATTATTTCTATTCTACATATAATTATAATAAATAATAATAATCGAAATGAATAAAGACGATCGTTCTTGAATTATTTCAGTAAATGTTCGACGGTAGGTAGATACGCAGAAGTTCTTTGCGAGAAAAATCGATGCCTGATCGAACCAGATTTTCTAGAGGAACTTTATATGGAGAATAATGTATTAGGTTGGCAGCCTGGAAATTATTCGAAATTTTGGGGAAGGTCTTTACAAGATGGAATACAATATCGATTGGGTACACTAAATCCATCGCAATCGGTAAAGATTACGTTTATTTGATAATATCATTGTTAAAAAAAAAAAAAAAAAAAAAAAAAAAATCCAAAGTAACAATAAAAAAAGAGGAAGAAAAAGGAGAAAAAGAAATTATATTTTTATTATAATCATTCTACTTATAGATTTATAAAATGAATCCAGTGAAACGGGTTTACGATCCCGAAGCATTACCACGTAGTTTCAATGCTAAGTCACGCTGGTCTCGTGACATATCTGAAATTCACGATCAAGGATGGTGCGGAGCTTCCTGGGCTATATCAACGGCCGACGTTGCATCCGATAGATTTGCCATCATGAGCAAAGGTCTCGAAGCCGTAGAATTAAGTGCACAGCATCTTCTTTCGTGTAATAATCGAGGTCAGCGAGGTTGTAGCGGTGGTTACTTGGACCGTGCCTGGTTCTTCATGAGAAGATTCGGGTAATGAAAACGTTCATTAAATTAAATTGCAAATCCTTAAAAATTTCATATCAATTTGCAATGTAAACGATTTTTATTTTTATTTATTTATTTATTCATTTTTTTTCTTTTTTTTTTTTTTTTTTAATTTTTAGATTAGTCGACAAGGATTGTTATCCTTGGACAGGTCAACAAGATCAATGTAGATTACGAAAGAGAACAAATCTGAAAACAGCCGGATGTCGAAATCCACCCAATCCGCTTAGAAAGGAATTATATAAAGTCGGGCCTGCTTATCGTCTTGGTAATGAGACCGATATAATGCAGGAAATCTTAACTTCCGGTCCTGTTCAAGGTAAAGAGAAATAGTTAATTATGATGACTGTTAATTTGTTTGTTAATTTTCTAATTTTTATATTTTAATACTTACTTTAATCATTGGAAATTAATCTTTTGTGTGATTTCGTTTTTTGTTTTCTTTTCTTGTTTTTCTTTTTTTTTTATTTGTTTAACAATCTCATAAACTTTTAGCAACGATGAAAGTCTATCAGGATTTCTTCATTTATCAATCGGGTATTTATCGACATTCTCGAACCGCGGAGATGTATGAGTCTGGATATCATTCGGTGAGAATCATTGGTTGGGGTGAGGATTATCATCGTGGAGCTTTGGTCAAATATTGGGTGAGTATTCTATTAAAAATCATTCGATAAACATTTACGATAACATGCTTACGATCTAATTTAATTAAATATTTTTAATTTTAGATCGTAGCAAATTCTTGGGGCTATGACTGGGGTGAAAAAGGTCTCTTTAGAATTCAAAGGGGTACGAACGAATGTGAGATCGAATCTTATGTACTAGGAGTTTGGGCTGAAACGTTATAATATTAATAGAGTATATATACATATTTATATACGAAGAACATTGTGACATTTTTCACGATCACTAAATAATATCGGTGCATTTATCGATTCTCCTGTCCTCATTGTTTCGTCGAATTTTATATTAATAGATAATTGTTAAATCGCGTTAAACGCAGATACAATAGCCATTTGTTAAATATCTGATTTGGTATTTTTGTTATTCCGTTTAAATCAATGCAAACCAATGCAACAAATTTATATTGCTACCATATAGTTTAATGCTTATGGTGAAAATATCAAAGTACAAGCACAAATAAAAGTACAAGCGAAACACAATAAATAATATCAATCATATAAGGATGCGTTAAGAGAAAGAAAGAAAGAAAAGAAAAAAAAACGGAAAAGAGAAACAAAAGGAAGAAAGAAAAAAAGAAAAGAAAAAAAGAAAGAAAGAAAGAAAAAGAAAAAAATAATTCCTTATATCAAACAGATTACCATATGTACAATGTACCAAATTGATATCATCACAACTCAGGTTTATACCTACATACATACATACATACATATATATATATATATATATATATATATATATATATATATACATACATACATACATACATACATATATATATATGCATATATATAATACATATTTATATATATAATACATATATATATATGTATTATAATTTATATATATAATACATATATATATATGCATATATATAATACATATTTTTAAGAATCATGATAACAATATACCATACTACACAAATTATTAATATACTGTCAATCTTTATAACGATACAAAAGGACTGTGCGTAAGTGCGTGCGTGTATGTGCGTGCGTGTGTGCGCGTGTGTGTGCTTGTGTATGTGTTTGAATGTAAGTCGACATTTTGAAATGTCTTCGTTAAATAATTTTGATGTCAAATCATTAATCATTCGCAAAATTATTTGACCGACTGCTTGTTTTGCCACGCCAATTTACAATTTACTTACATATATATTATAATTAGTTTAGAAATAATTTCATTATATTATCTATAATTTTAATTAGATAAATTCGAAAAATTAGCGAATGTCGTGCTTTCTGCTTCTTACTCATATGCAGATCATATAATTTTAATTAATATTTTATATTATATCAATCATTATATACGCGTGATGATAACGAAATATCCAATTATGGTAATTCTAATAATTACATCGAAAAATAATGTAACTCATGTAAACTGGATTGTATACGAATATCATATTTTACTCAAGTATACGTGTAGTATATATATATATGAGAATTAGCTTCCATAACTGTTTTATCTAAACGCGTCAGTATTTAAGTAAAATGTTAATAGAATTCGAAATGAATTCTTTGAAATATTTTTGTTACATGCAACGCCACGACTACCCTAATCATGTCTTTAGTTAAATAGTAAAATATTAAGCATGTCCTTTTATGCCTCGTGTATGTCCCTTGTAAGTTATTACATGATTATTTTTGAAATAAAAGAATTGATATACATCAAGTCCTTCTATTGCTTTTCTAATACTTAATACATCATTGCTAAACGATCGCTCAAAATTTATATTTTAATTATACACACACACACACACACACGCACACATGCGCATGCACGCATATGCGCGTGTTCATATATATATATATTATAAATATAATTTAATTACAATTATAATTCTTCATGTAACAATAATATATATATATATTTATTTGTTTATAATATAATCTTAAAATATAACAAATTAAAAGATAAACTCGAATTAAGAAATTAAATAACTTTGATATATAAGAAAGTTCGTAAATAATTCATACGAGTATTAAAGAAAAAGAATAAATTCGTAACAATTATAAATGAACCGAAGTTAGCCATTTTGTAATTAACACGTTAATTGAATTTACATATGTATATAACTTATTTTATATTTTATACCACAACACTTCGTCTACTACTTTTACAATGTGGACTATAAATTTCTAATTTATCTTTCGGAGTATTCATGGCGGAATAATCAATTGGAAAAGGTATACTGTTTCCACGTGCGATACAAGAGTCTGTCATTCCAAGAAAATGTTCACCCGGTCCGAAAGGACCACGTCCAAATAAAAAATTTGCAAAAATTAATTGATACTGTGGCCAACCGAGAGGATGATCTCCATTCTGAAAAATGATCAATCCATCAATATTATATCAAATATCATTTGATATAATTTAATTAAAATGAATTAATAAATCCAATCGATTATTGTCCACTCACAGAGGTCATCGAGTTATAGGCAATGTCAATACATTTTTCAATTCTATCCGAATCAAGACCAACAATCGAACCATAAAAATTGCTAATTTCGTCCTTGCTGATCTTTCCATTTCCTGTACCATTAATAACGAGGAAAAATATTTTTGGCATCATTTTAATCCAAAACGGTAACTCATTGTAATTCGTTCCGTTAATTGGCGTTATTATTTTTGTCCACCAAGATAACCAATCGTCAAGATCGATTTTTCTCGTCTGTTGTTCCAGTTCGTTTTTATTATCAGGAAATATCAATGAAGCAAATCCTTTTTCGACTTCTAACAAACGTAAATATTCTGGACCGTTCCAAGACCAATCGGCGAATCTTCGTAATCTCTTTACAAATATGAGAGATTTCGATGATACATTCTATTTCTTTTTCTTTTTTTTATTTGTTTTTTTCTTCGTTTTTTTTTTAACTCCGAAATTGAGGGAAAAAAAAAGGAAAAAAAAGGGATAAGAAAATAGATCATTTCTATGAAAGAAAATACTACCTCGGATAATATCCCGAAATCCTTTCTAGTGATAAAACCATCCTTGTCGTGATCCAATAATATAAAGAAATGTGAAAGTTTATCACGTTGTATAGGCGCCAATACTTTCGAATGTCCTCTTTTGTCAAAATGTTCGATCGCTGTTAAACTATCGTCGCTCGGATAACGACTCACCCAAGTTGCTGTTATTTATCATATCGCGATTACAATTAACGATATTAAGTATATGAAGAATGGATGATTGTTTGAAAAATTGAATTGGTAAAGAAAAAAAAACGAAAACGAAGAAGTAAATAAGATATCCTTATTGAACTTACTCCAAACGTGTACGCTCCAGCCAGGATGTTCGATCTCTTTGGTAACCGTTGAAGTTTCAGTGAATACGTCAGTATTACTAGGTACTGTTCTCCATCTCTTTAATAAATCTTTTGTTCTATCACGAGTCCGATCGCAGGCTTGCCGCCAATTTGTAATAAACTTTCTTGGTACTTTAAGCGAGGCGCTCTCGTCCAAACCGAGTTCTTGACTACCACCAGAACTACGAGCGCTTGGTTCGACATCATTATTTTGATCCAAGTTATCCGAACCAGATGGGTAATAAATCGGATCTTTTATGCTACCTGAACGAGTATCCATGACGAACTACCTCGCTATTCTCGACTCCTCAGGGTGACTCCCCTAAAATAATCAATTCCTCGATGTGAGAGGTCACCAGGTCGCTCGATAATGTGTCGTGTTGTCGTTATAACACGCATCCCTGGCCCACCTTTCATTCATGGCCAACAACATCATCCACGTTTCGATTTCGTTTCATTTATCGATTTGGATTTCGATGGTGTTTTTGAATGAAACGTTTCTTCTTTTTTCTTTTCTTCATTGCGTTATTCCATTCCTTTTTTTGTTCTTCTATTTTTTCTTGCTTTTTTTTTCGAGAATTTTGGAAGGATTACAAAAGAAAAATTTTTTTGATTACTGTTAAACAATAGAAGAGACATTAGAAAATAATCGATTACTCGTTAAGATATTATCTGATCGTTACTTAGAACGATCGCGATATTATCACCCTTGTCATCTTTTCAAATTATATTTATGTAATTAACTCGTTGACACTCGTTTTATTACATTGTTTTTTATTTGATGATATATATTATCCTTTTTTTTATAGTTAGTACATTGTTTTTTTAAATTGTCTTACATACGGTATCATTTTTACTATTAAATTATAAAGATATATCATATGAGAGAATAATTTTAAACAAATTACATACGAAAACATGATTCCAAATTCGAAATATTCAAATCGTATAAATTTTTGTTTATTTCGTTCAAATTTCTTTTCAAATAACTATCGACGATTTCTATATATTTTAGTTCGACATAGAGGCCTCTAGTAGAGGAATGAAATAAAACGCAGGGACTGCCATCTATAATATCGTTTCGATCACTGTCTCATGCAACCATATTCATGCGGCAGGTCTTTCCTTCTGTTCTAATCGCGTGGGGTGAGTGTAGTACGATTGAAATCGTGTTATATCGTGAACATCTTGAATTTTGCTCAAATTAAAATATAAAAAGATTTATTCCTGAATTTGATCGTATAATTTATCGTTATGATTTTATTATTAATCTTTTGAGAAATAGTTTGCTCGTATTAACGAGAAAGTTAACCTTCAATATATTTTTTCACGTCCATATTCTTTTATTCGAAATCTGTGTTTTGATAGTTTTATTTATTACGTGAATAATTATTTCTTTCTTAAATTATTATTATTATTACAATTACAATTACAATAATCAAGTGGTTTTGTTGAAATATTGTGCAAATTTTGTAACATAGTAAAATTATTTTTTTGTCATGTAGGGATTCACAATGGGTGCATACAAGTATATGCAAGAATTGTATCGCAAAAAGCAAAGCGATGTACTCCGCTTCTTGTTGCGTGTTAGATGCTGGCAATATCGGCAATTAACAAAAATGCATCGTGCTCCAAGACCGTCCAGGCCTGATAAAGCACGCCGTTTAGGATACAAAGCTAAGCAAGGTGAGACCTATATGCATAAGTGTAATAACAAAATATTCAATGGTATTCAACAAACAAAATCTTTTCGAAGACATTGTAGTATTATAGAATTGAATACGATAATTTGTCGACTATACAGAATTGAAATAGTTTCCGGTCTTTAATTCTTTCAATCAAATATTATTTTGGATCGTACTTTTGATTCGGCAGTCATGGAGATACATGCCAACTTTTCCAATTATTTCTTTTTTTAGATGTGGCACCTTTTATACCGCACAGTTCCTACCTTGGGGGATGAAATTGACTCCATGACTGCTGGTAAACATACGATTGTAATTGAAAAATTTTTAATTAGAAAATAATACTAAAGTGTCTTGAAATATATCACATGATGAAACATCATGCACCACTCTTACAGTATTATGGTGATTGATTTTTAATATGATCTGATCTCATTTTTTATTGCTAATTTTAATATATTATTAAAGTCATAATCGTTATAAATAAAAATGATATTTTATTTTCAAATTACTAGGCTTTGTCATCTTTAGAATTCGTGTACGTCGTGGTGGACGTAAACGTCCTGTACCAAAAGGTGCAACATATGGTAAACCAAAAAGCCATGGTGTAAATCAACTTAAACCTACCAGAAAATTACAATCTGTGGCTGAAGTAAGTATATTTTATTTAAATAGTTTAATATAATTTTATTATCTATAGATAACAAATTAATAAGTAAATTAATATTGGATATTTAATGCCATTAGGAACGTGTTGGTCGTCGTTGTGGTGGTTTAAGAGTATTAAACAGCTATTGGGTGGCTCAAGATTCATCTTATAAATATTATGAAGTCATCTTGATTGATCCTGCACATAAGGTAATTTTGTTTTTGTTCTAACAAACATACATTTAAAAAAGATATTTATGTTATTCAATGATGAAAACTTTTATCTAATTGTGAAATAAGATGATATTTAACTTCCTTGGATGTCTGAAACGAATATGCATTTATATGTATATATATATAGAAAATATTTTATATAAAAAAAATTAGAATGCCCTTTTCTTTTTTGTTTTAGGCTGTTCGAAATGATCCTAAAGTAAATTGGATATGTAATGCAGTACATAAACATCGTGAACTTCGTGGAAAGACCTCAGCTGGTAGGAGTTCACGTGGCTTAGGTAAAGGACATCGTTATTCGCAAACAATTGGTGGATCACGGCGTGCTGCATGGCTTCGAAGAAATTCTCTGTCGCTACGAAGAAAGCGATAATTATTTTTTATTGTTTGTCATTTACATTATTAAAAAACACGATACATCATTTTATTGTATATTCGTATTGTATCAATATAATGGTGTATCCTGTGAAAAATAAATGTCTCTTTCTTAAATATCATTCACCCTTGAATAAATAGATATCACGATATTAAATCGTAGAATAATGTTATATGGATTTGCAATTTTTTGCAATCTTTCTATAAAAAAAAAAATATTCTTGGTTCACATTATTAAAGTATAATATACATATACAAAATTTATATATATATATATATATATATATATATATATATAAACATGAAAAAAGAAGATAAAATTTGGTAATGAATTTTTGTATTTTTATTCACATACATTTGAAAACAATAATCTTAAGATAATTTCATTGCCCAGGACCGGATAACGATTTATCCATAAACTTCTTTTTTGCAAAGCAGAGCCACCATTTACTAGGTTTCCCATCCTTGCCATAAACTTTTTCTACCAATCTTGCTGCTGTCTCCTGTCTGATTTGTTGTAGATATTGTCTCATTAAATCTACAAAAGTTATATCAATTATTATCAATTAAATGATTTCCTTAAAAGATATTTAAAGATATATTTACCAGCTTCTGCGGGGGTATTAGGTTTGGCGTAGACGGAATTCAACGGAAAACCAGGATCACCGGGTATATCAAATTTAGAAATTGCCAGAGAAAACATTTCACTGGTTGCTTGATTCTGATTGGCACATTTTTGTAACCTTTTCAAGCATTCAGTAATATATAAGGTAATGTAAATTAAAACTCTATCGGCTTCACTCTATGACAGGAATAAAAAACAAAAAAACAATGTTTTTTTTTCTAAGTTATATAAAATTAAAGATAATGAAACAATATTTACATTAATTAATATATATTATTATATTTATTTTGCAATAAATAATATACCTTAATCTCATATGTTCTAAAAAATACATTTGCCTTGAAGAAATTCAACGCTTCATCAATTATATCTATATCCTTATTGTTTAAAGGTGGTGCAGGACCTCTAAATTCGGTTTTAATTGGTAAAAGGGCCATATTGCCGATGGTTGCATTACTTTCCGTGAAACTAGAATGATACGCCTAAAAGTTGATAATATATTAAAGTATAATTAAAATAATAAAAATTAAGTTGATATAACCATATTTTTGATATAATAATCAACGAAATAAAATACACACGATTGAATTGATTTCCCATTCCATTGGTATAAATATAGAGATTATTTGTACGATAATATCTTACAAATTTGTTTACAAATAACTTATTAATACCAAAAATGAGATGAAAAATGTCAAATATAGTTTGTTTATCAGAATGACAGGGTGACACCCTTTTTATCACTTGACTTCTGTAGTGTATTTAAAATAAATTTATAATACTCTATCGTTACTTACAGGCATCTTGGAAGATTTAAAACAAGTACTTATTATAGTCTTTTTCCAGCTTTTTATACATATCACGAGAAATATTTATTATCCTTATGACTAATAACAGGAAATAAGATACGTGTCAGACATTTTCGAACCATCGTCTCAAGCCGAATTCTGAATAAGTAACCATCCATATTTGTATGGACATAAGACGCCATCTGGTGTTCGTTCTTAAAAAATGATTGCATCTAGAAAGAAACAAAACTACGTTTATCGTTGGATAATCATTCTATTCTAAATATTACTTTAGAACTTGAAATTGTAAACACACTTGTAAACATTTTATTCCTCGTTCTGTATGACAATAGTGATATAGTGATCATGTATTTATAATTTGTAAAAGATGGCCGATGCATGTACACAGGAGGATGTGCTATCTCAAATAGAATATGCATTTCCTATTATTAAAGAAGAGGTATAAAACTTTGTATATTTCTTTTTTTTCTTTTTTCTTTTTTCCTCTCAATCTTTTTATATAATAATTGATAATTTTTATTTGCCAGATTCAAAATGATTGCACGGATGAACAATTTGCCACAATAATTGAACAAATAAGAGTATTGAAATTGACAAATTTTGTTAAAGATATAGTACTTCATCATATAGAATATTATATTCGTCAGAAAGTAGCACCAACGTTTTGGAAGAAGTTTGTAAATATTACAAGTGAACAAGAAGGTTTTGAATTCTTCAAAAGTGCTGTGGATGGTTTATACATTAGTTTAACTGAATTTTTACCACTTTTAAAAAAGTTGGAATATCTTCAATATGAAGATACTGAAAAAACTATACTTCAGGCTGATAATGTTTTATCAAGATTTAAACTTATCGTTAGGTCTACATTATTAAGTCAGTTACCATTGGATCATGAACATATAATAGAACAATTTTATAGAATAGCATTTAATGTATTTTGTAATTCGGATAATAGTTCATTACATGGTAATAATAGAAAATATTATGAAATTATCACGTTTTATATGTTTTATTAATGTATAATATTATTTATAGATTCTAGTGGAAGTGATACGACACATTGTGGAGGTTGTAATCAAGAAATAGATAAATGCCAATGTCAGATGATAGTATATATGTTTCATGAAACTAATAGGAAATTAATTGAATTAGAATTATTAGAGAGATTAGTGGGCAATGTACTTACATCGTTAATACACATTCGTATCAAATGTCATGTAAGCGAGACATGTGACAGAGTATTTGATATATCTCAACTTAAACCATTGGAAAATGTAAGCATACGTATTTATCATGAAATCTATATAAATTCTTATCAATTTAATAAAAATTATTCAGAGATATATAATTATTTAATTTTATTTCAGTGGCTTGAAACTGTTGTTATGAATTGGTTGATAAGGATATATTCAGGAGGATTTTCAAAAACTGTTTCTTTGAGCGATGATATTCGTGACGCCGTTATTAAATTCAAAAGAAAATTATCTCATTATTTATATGAGACATACACAAGAATTAGAATCGATCAATTGTTTAATATCATAATAGGTAAATGACAATTTTTATAGGATATTTTAAATAGATATATTTGTTGGACACCAAATCTTTAATATAAAACTATTATTTATATTGAGAAATTTTTATTTAGAATATCCTGATTCGCAACCAGCAATAGATGATCTTCGAATTTGTTTGGATAGAACGGATCTACGCAAAGTTTTAGTGGAAACACTACAGGAAGCACTTAAGACTAGACTTTTACATCCAGGTGTTAATACTCCAGATATATTAACTGCATATATTGCTGCTATTAAAGCTTTGAGACAATTGGATCCAACAGGAGTGCTTCTTGAAACTGTGACAGAACCCATTAAGTAAGTTATATATATTTAAATTAAAAAAAAAGATATTAATTATATATTTTTCAGAAAAAAAAAAATAAATAAAAAAACATTTTACACAATTAATTATATTGTAATATTTTGTATTTAAGAGTTTATTTAAGAAGTAGAGAAGATACAGTAAGGTGTGTTGTTAGTGGATTATTGGACGATTCACCTAGTGATTTAGCTGATGAATTAGTGAAAGGAGAATCCTTGCAATTGGATGATGGTTCAGCCGATGAGGAAAACGAAGATTGGGAAAAATGGGTTCCTGATCCAGTTGATGCTGATCCTGGTAAATTGTTTAGTGTACAAAAAGAAATAGAAAAAAAGAACAAAAGCAGATTATTCTGTCAACTATCTCTCTCTTTTTTTTTTTTTTTTTTTTTTTTTTTCAGCCAAATCTACGCAACGAAGGATGTCTGATATAATTTCAATGCTAGTTAATGTATATGGAAGTCAAGATTTATTTGTTAATGAATATCGCACGTTATTGGCAGACAGATTATTGTCTCAATTAAATTATCACACAGAACGAGAAATTCGTCATTTAGAATTATTGAAAAGAAGATTTGGAGAAAATCAATTACATTATTGCGAAGTTATGTTAAAGGACGTATATGATTCAAAAAGGATAGATGGAAATATTCAATCGGACACAAGTTATAGCTTAGAAAAAGAACATTTTCCAACGTCCGCCCTTATATTGTCTGCACAATTTTGGCCACCGTTTAAAGAGGATTGGAAATTGGAATTGCCTAAAATTGTACAGGACCAATTGAATAAATACGTGAAGGCGTTTGAAGCTTTAAAGGGAAATAGAACACTTTGTTGGAAACCACATTTAGGAAATGTCAATCTTGAAATTGAATTGAAGGATAGAAAATTGGATATAAATGTAACACCAATACATGCTACGATTATATTACATTTTCAGGATAAAAGTAAAATAATATATTTTAAAACTTTTTTCTATAAATTTTTTTAATATTTTCATAATTTCTTCAATAGCTTGATATTGTATTATATATAATTTTTTTTTCTTTTCTTTTTTTTTTCTTTTTTTTTTTTTTTTATACAGAGGAATGGAATTTAGAAGAGTTGGCACAAGTGATGCATGCTCCAGCGACGGTACTTAGACGGAAAATAACTTTTTGGGTTTCTCAAGGACTTTTAAAGGAAATCTATAACGACGTTTTTGTACTTCAAGAAGAAAGTTCATCGAAAAATAGAACTTTGGCTGATATCGTCGAAGAGGAAGAAGCTGAAAGTGTAATGGCTTCTGCTAGTGATCAAAGGGAAGAAGAGTTACAAGTTTTTTGGTCGTACATCGTTGGAATGTTAACTAATCTAGATTCTATGCCATTGGAAAGAATTCATCAAATGTTAAAAATGTTTGCATCTCAAGGCCCAGGTGCTGTAGAATGTGGATTACCAGAATTAAGACAATTTCTTGATGGAAAAGTTAGAGAACATCAATTATTATTTTCTGGTGCTCTTTATCGACTTCCCAAATCGTGATAAAATTAATATAATTTATATCTTTATATATTGTTCCGGTTGAGTTTAATCCATATATTATACATTTGTTTTATATATATATATATATATATATATATATATATATATATATATATATATATGTATATATATATGTATTTAAAATATTTAAAATAAAAAAAAAAAAAAAATAAAAAAAAATCATATCATTGCCTTTAATGTGATTTTGAATGAATTATAATTATTCTTTTGTTTACTTTTTGCGTATGCTATGATTTTATACATATTAATTGCTTATGTGTGATTCAGCAGAGAGTTAAACGTACAATTAAAATAAAAACAAGCAACACTGTGATTTTTTGGATTTATTCAATGATTGTTAGTTAAACGCTCTAATTCTAACAGTTGTGTAATAAAAATATTTCTCTCGTGCGCATTTCAAACACAGAAAGTAAGTGTTAGTGATCTTTTCTACACTTGATTTGGTAAAGTGTAGTGTATGTACATAGATCGTAAACTGCACCATTATGTGTGTTCATAATTTAACGTATGTATTTATATACGTTGCATTTTTCACATAATAAACATTGCTACGAGAATAAAATAATACTTTAATAATGATGAATATTGTATATAGTCAAATTAGTCATATGAGATAAAGCTAGTCGTATTACTCGACCTTTTGTGAGCAATTCTT